CTTTACACATCACCACTAAACAGAATGTACATCTTGTCCAGACAGAACCAACTTCAACAATTTCTTTACACATGACCACTCGACAGAATGTACATCTTGTCCAGACAGAACCAACTTCAACTCTTTCTTTACACATCACCATTAGACAGAATGTACATCTTGTCCAGACAGAACCAGCTTCAACTCTTTCTTTACACATGACCACTAAACAGAATGTACATCTTGTCCAGACAAAACCAACTTCAACAATTTCTTTACACATCACCACTAGACAGAATGTACATCTTGTCCAGACAGAACCAACTTCAACTCTTTCTTTACATCACCACTAGACAGAATGTACATCTTGTCCAGACAGAACCAACTTCAACTCTTTCTTTACACATCACCACTAGACAGAATGTACATCTTGTCCGGACAGAACCAACTTCAACTCTTTCTTTACACATCACCACTGTACAGAATGTACATCTTGTCCGGACAGAACCAGCTTCAACTCTTTCTTTACACATCATCACTAGACAGAATGTACATCTTGTCCAGACAGAACCAGCTTCAACTCTTTCTTTACATATCACCACTAGACAGAATGTACATCTTGTCCAGATAGAACCAACTTCAACTCTTTCTTTACACATCACCAATAGACAGAATGTACATCTTGTCCAGACAGAACCAACTTCAACTCTTTCTTTACACATCACCAATAGACAGAATGTACATCTTATTCAAACATACATATGAAAAAATTATATTTGTTTAATTCCTAAAGATTAAACAGACATTTATTGCTATAATTAAACAATGTATATCATATTTTTAAATGATAACTGAAATTGACAGAATAATATGTTCATATAATCAAACTTGAAACCACAGTTTCTATATTTTTATATAATGATTCACCTCCGATGTTTTAACCAGTTCTTGGTGGTTAAGGTTTCGATTCCATCCTCTCCTCTGTAGAGAATCCTAGAAAATAAAAGCACATTCTCAATCATTTTATATTAGAAAATACTTTTATTTATAAATCTTTATGCAACATATTGTTGTAAAAAACATGTTCCTTTTTCTATTTTGAGGTATATCACATTTTAAATTTTAAAACAAAGTTTACTTGAAGTTGAGTGAACACGTACAACAGATAAACATTAGGTGAATTATAAGAACAATATCATGAATGATAAAAGAAGATATTTGAATAAAATATAACTAATATAAAAGATCGAAAATAAAATACATTTTATACATAAACATGTCTTGACAATGAAAGATTTGTTGACCAAGTTCTTTACTGTATAGAATTAACAGTGATCTTTAGACTACGATATAAAAGTACCAACAGATTACACATTATGATATGACAACACCAACAGATTACACACTATGATATAACACCAACAGATTACACCCTATGATATAACAGTACCAACAGATTACACACTATGATACAACGCCAACAGATTACACCCTATGATATAACGCCAACAGATTACACCCTATGATATGACAACACCAACAGATTACACCCTATGATATAACACCAACAGATTACACCCTATGATATGACAACACCAACAGATTACACCCTATGATATAACAACACCAACAGATTACACACTATGATATACCAGTACCAACAGATTACACACTATGATATAACAGTACCAACAGATTACACACTATGATATAACAGTACCAACAGATTACACACTATGATATAACAGTACCAACAGATTACACACTATGATATAACAGTACCAACAGATTACACCCTATGATATAACACCAACATATTACACACTATGATATAGCAACACCAACAGATTACACCCTATGATATAACAGTACCAACAGATTACACACTATGATATAACAGTACCAACAGATTACACCATATGATATAACAGTACCAACAGATTACACACTATGATATAACAACACCAACAGATTACACCCTATGATATAACAGTAGCAACAGATTACACCCTATGATATAACACCAACATATTACACACTATGATATAACACCAACAGATTACACCCTATGATATACCAGTACCAACAGATTACACACTATGATATAACAGTACCAACAGATTACACCATATGATATAACAACATCAACAGATTACACCATATGATATAATAACACCAACAGATTACACCATATGATATAATAACACCAACAGATTACACACTATGATATAACAGTACCAACAGATTACACACTATGATATAACAGTACCAACAGATTACACACTATGATATAACAACACCAACAGATTACACCCTATGATATAACAGTACCAACAGATTACACACTATGATATAAGGTAAGATATTATGTTAAATATACTTAACCAAACAAACTACAGCTAAATTAAAACTATGGTATATCAAGTTGTGAACATGTGGCACCTAACATCTCAGTAAACTGAAGTGTCTGTAGTAAACCATGGCATTAATACCAAACTGATGAAACAATAAATCGTAATCTTTACATGTGAAGATCTTAGAAGAGTAAATTAGCTATACTAATTACTATCAACTAATTACTTGGTTGATTCTTTTTATAAAAGTAGGAACTTTCAGTTGAAATGATTCAGAAATATGAAAAAATACATATTCCAAATCACTGAAAGTGAGTCTACAATGTGCAGAGTTTGTTCAAAGTGACCCCAACACTGCTTATGTTCCATATGGAGTTTTGTTCAAAGTGACCCCTACACTGCTTATGTTCCATATGTAGTTTTGTTCAAAGTGACCCCTACACTGCTTATGTTCCATATGGAGTTTTGTTCAAAGTGACTCCAACACTTGTAGTGGTTACATCTTCATAGTTAGGCCTGCCAACAGTTGCCCAGATCTCTTCCCTACAACATACAGCATCTTTACTAATGACATTGAAAGCAGTATGTTCATTGTAGTGGTTACATCTTCATAGTTAGGCCTGCCAACAGTTGCCCAGATCTCTTCCCTACAACATACGACATCTGTAATTTATTTTATTGACCGTACGAGTAAAACCATAAATTTGTCAACTAATAATTTTACCTGGAACTGCTTAATTTGTTGTTTGTATTCTTTAACTTTGTTCCTCAGAAATTCTGTTTGCTCTGCTTTCTTGGATAGATGAGGCTTCTGCTGGTCATCCCACTTGTTGACCATCACTAGATCACTACATTAGACAGTGAAAGTGGTTAAGATTACAAAATATCAACTTCTGTCCATGGCAAGAACTGAAGAATGGACATTGAAAACAGATTAACAGTATATAATCCAACTAGAAGATTTATCATATTAAATTCTACCAATAAGAAGTTTTAAATTAACAGGATTTCTTAACATTTTACTTACTACTGCAGTTGATCTTTGTTGTATCTGTTATTAAAAATGTATTTATTTTATGCCATTTCCAGAAGCATAAAGTTGTCTTTTTTTTTTAATACCCAGATATTCAAGCCATATCTGGGTACCCTGGTTGGTTTCTGGGTTCAAGATGTGTATTAAAGAGAGTTAAAATTACTTTTCAATTATTGGTTCAGGATATGTGTTAAAAGAATTAAAGAAGGAACTGAATCCTCGATCCAGGATGTGTGCTAAAAGAATTAAAGAAGGTACTGGATCCTCGATACAGGATGTGTTAAAAGAATTAAAGAAGGTACTGGATCCTCGATCCAGGATGTGTGTTAAAAGAATTAAAGAAGGTACTGGATCCTCAATCCAG